TTAGGGGACAGCCAGCGGCTGGGGCCGGGTGCTGAGGAAGGAGGATGGCGTTGGTAGAGTCGTCCTGCCCCTGATGTTAAGGGCTCTGCACCGCAGGCCTCTGGAGAAGGCTCTCACAGGGCCCAGACGCTCTCTGGTTTTGCCCCTATTCTGCTAGGTCCATCACCCGCCCTCTCCCTACGCTGTTAGGTAACCCTCCTAACTTTCTCTGCCCAAAGTGGGGTTTATCTCTAGCTTTACTGGAGAAGTGGTGTATTCCCTGAGGCTGCGGCAAACTGCCACAGACTTGGTGGCCTGAAACGACAGAAAGGTGTTCTCTTAGATTCTGGAAGCTGCGCTCCCTGCAGAGGCTCGGGGAGAACCCGCCCCTGCCTTCTCTAGCCTTCGGTCGTCACCAGCTTCTTGGCACTGGCCACACCATTCCAGTCCCCGCCTCCATGGTCATGTCACCTTTTCATCTTTGTCCATCTTCTCTGTGTATTTCTTAGAAGGTCACTTGTCCTTGGATTTAGGATAATCTGGCAGGGTCTCCTTATCTCAAAATCTTTAACTTAATTGTATCCAAAGAGAACCCTTTTCCAAATAAGTTAACTAGTCCAGGTTGTGGGGATTAGGGTGTGGACCTTGTGAGGGTAGGTGAGTTGTAGCTCTTGACCTTCTACCTTCCATGGGGACTCCCTCTCTCCGCTGTCCTCAGGGCCATCTGAGTGGGGCTGTCGCGGCCCAGAGGCCCACTGCTAACCGGTGCCAGCAGAAGTCTGCGGACGAAGTGCCTTCCTTTGGGAGAGGGGCCCACCCTCCCCAGGACTCACACAGCAGGGTATCACCCCCATATAGGAAGGATGTGAGGATGCTGGTCAGCCAACAACAAAACAAAATGATGTGACACGTCACCACCCCTGCATCTTTCGAGTCACTGACAGTGGCTATTTCTATAACTCCCTTAGGGACATAACACTGTTTTGATGTATTATTTGGAAAATGAGAGGGAGCACCAGGGACTTTAGCTTAGTTCTCCCTGGTATTTTAACCTCTAGATCAGGGGGTCAGATGAGGATGCCACCAGACCCTGAGGTGACCTGGTCTAGCCGCTCAGGAACAGGGCGTCCGAGGCCTTGCTGTCCGTGCTCTCACGCTCCCCGAGGCTCACTCAGTGCCCTATGGCCTACAGCAGCCGCCTTTACAGACCCTTTGAGCCACATCACATAACGGTCTTGAAGTTCATTTAATTCCTTGAGTCAATAATCTAGACATCTGAGCTTGTCTTGCTTGACATTATTCAATGTCACTATAAGCAGCCACTTGACGTTCTGTGTTCCTGGTTTCTTCATTCCTATCAATCTGTCCATGGCCAAGTCCACACAGTTCCTCAGACTGTGACCCTCAGAGAGCATGTGACCTCTGGTGTTTGCAGCAGCTTATAATTTGATCAGCTGCTTCTCCTCTGTGTACCATGAGCTGCTGTTTTTCCAATGCTGAACATAAAGGGGAATCTCAGAGCCTCTGGCCTGAAGCCCAGGCCTGAAACCCCCTTTCTAGTGCATATATATATATATATATATATATATATATAAAAATTGATATTTAGAGGGACAAGAAGAAAGAGAAACATCAATCTGAAAGTGAAACATCAATCAGCTGCCTACTGGCAGCCTTTCAGTGCATGGGATGGTGCCCAACCAGCTGAGCCACACTGGCCAGGGCCCGGCCAGGGCTAAGTATATTTTTAATCCTACCCTGAGGATATGTTTTAGGGAGAGGGAGGGAGAGGGGAGGAGAGGGAGGGAGAGAGGAAGAGAGAGAAAGAGAAAGAGAGAAACATCAATGTGAGAGAGAAACATTGATTGGCTGCCTCTCCACATATGCCGAACCGGGGCTGAACCTACAGCCTCGGTACGTGCCCTGACCAGAAATCGAACCTGCCACCTTTCGATGTACCGGAAGAAGCTCCAACAAAGCAAGCTACCTGGCCAGGCCTCTGGTGCCAGTATTTGGATCAAGTACTACCCTTTGGTCAAAACCGAGTCTGGCTAGTGAAAGTGAAAGGGAGGGCAATGGAAGGGTACGGGCGGGCCGCAGAGCTGAAGAAGCAGCAGAGGGACTTATTTCAGGTCTGAAGCCCCCAGGAGCAGGAGTCATGGATTGTTTCCTGAGGATGTTGCCATGACTTGACGATGCAACAAATTTTTCCTCATGCTGATCCACCACCAATTCAGATTCCCCAGCTCTGTCCCTAGGGTCTGCCTGCCCTGGGATTGTCTGCCCCGCCCGCACCTCAGGACGCAGGAGCAGGTCCCCTCAGAGGCCAGGAAAACGGTGCTGAGCGGGCCAGACAAAGGGTGGCCACAGCCTATAAGAGCTTGGCTTCAGCTTAAGGCCTTTTCTGAGGGGGGAGGGTGTAGAGTGAACAGCTCCTACCCTGGGGAAGCCCCCAGTCTGATGGTGGAGACATAGGCCATGCCCTTGATGAACTTCTGGTCTGATGGTGAAGACTGGTCATAGAACCAGAAATTTAAGAGAAAGAGAAAACATATGTTCAAAGCAGGTATTTTTAAAATAGTGAAAAAACAGAAACTGCCAAAAACACTCCCTAAAGGGGAAATGATTAAACAATTATTATATAAGCATTAAAGTGATGTTTTTGAAAAATAGTAATATAAGAAAATATTAATGGTGTAATGCTGAGAGAAAAAATCGGATACTAGTTTGTATATACATTATCATCCAACTGTGTAACGCAGTGTGTGCAGAAGGAGGAAATACACCAAAATGTTACTGGAGGTAATAATAATAATTTTTTAAAATAAACATTTTTGAGCACTTTTATATATGAGATCCTGGCCTAAACAGTGTACACATATTATTTACCTGACCTTTATGTGATAGAAACTATTATCATCCCCATTTTATATATGAAGAAACTGATACTCATGAAGACTAAATCCATGGGTGGTCAATTAGCTAGTAAGTGCTGACTCAAATCCAGATTGTCTAAAGTCAAAAGTCCATCTTTTTTTTTTTTTTTTTTTAAATCCTCATGTGAGGATATGTTTTCATTGACTTTTAAAAATATGTTTATAAAATTAATTTTAGAGAGAGAGGAAAGGGAGAGTAAGAAAGAGAGAGAAACATCGACCATTGCCTCCCATACACACCCCACACTCCAAACAGGACCAAACTTACAACTTGGGCATGTGCCCTGACTGGGAATCAAACTGGCAACCTTTCAGGCCCTCAACCAACTGAGCTACACCAGCCAGGGAAAGTTTTCACTGATTTTTTTAGAGAGAGGGAAAGGAAGAGAGAGAGAGAGAGAGAGAGAGAGAGAGACACCGATGTGAGAAACATCAATTGGCCACTTCTCACGGGCACCCCAACAGGGGATCAAACCTGCAACCCAGGTATGTGCCTGACAGGAATCAAATCCACCACCCTTGGGTGTACAGGATGATGCTCCATCCAACTGAGCCACACTGGCAAGGGCTAAAGCCCATCTTTTTAAAAATTTTTATTTATTTATTTTTTAATCCTCACTCGAGGACATTTTTCCATTTTTTTTGTTCAGATAGAGTGGGAGGGAGAGAGAGGAAGAGAGATAGAAACATCGACATGAAAGGGACTCATCGAGTGGCTGCCACCCGCACAACCAACCAGGGCTGGGGACAAACTGCAACCGAGGTACGCGCCCTTATCGGGAACCGAACCTGGGTCTCTCTGGACCGCAGGTCAACACTCCAACTGCTGAGCCAAACCGGTCAGGGCTAAAGTCCATTATTTATTTATTTATTTATTTATTTATTTATTTATTTATTTTTAATCCTCACCCGAGGACATTTTTTCATATTTTGTTCAGATAGAGTGGGAGAGAGAGAGAGAGAGAGAGAGAGAGAGAGAGAGAGAGAGAGAAACATCAACGTGAAAGGGACACATCGAGTGGTTGCCACCCGCACAACCCAACCAGGGCCGGGGACAAACTGCAACTGAGGTACATGCCCTTAGCGGGAACCGAACCTGGGTCTCTGAGGAGCGCAGGCTGACACTCTAACCGCTGAGCCAAACCGGCCAGGGCTAAAGTCCATCTTTTAAAGATCATCTTGTCTCTCCTTAGCTCCTCATTTTGGGATTATGAGTTATCTCTATTTTTTTATTACCCTTCATGAATTTCCGTAGTTCTCTACTAACAATTTACTTATATATAAAATCAGGAGAAATTATATGTTTGAAAAGAGGGGAAAAAGAAATATGCAACAAAAACAAACAAGAGGAGAAAGACATTGTATCAAACAATGGCTATGTTAAGGTCTGAGAAATCTCATCAGGAACGTGTAATTTTGTAGTTGCTTCTGTTATCAGCCTATAAGAGCTTGGCTACAATGTATTTATAAATCATTATAAAATCATAATATTAATAAATAATATATTTAAATACCATGCATATATACTTACAGGTAAATATCTCACTGTTTTGTTTTTAGGGCAGGAGCCCTGCCCTTTTTATCTCTGTGGTTCTTGCTTAGGGAAGATATCGTCCGACACAGGGCTTAGTGACTGCCGATTGAAGGATAGGAACTGGAAACCTGTGACCGGAAGATAACATCAGAAAAGGCTTTGCTGGCCTCCTGGGGACTGGAGGTTCTGGAGGGCGATCAGGGAGCCCGGGAGGGTGGGATGGGGCAGCGCTCGGAAAGCGGTTTTGCGGCAGGGAACTGAGTGTGTGTGTGTGTGTGTGTGTGTGTGTGTGTGTGTGCGTGCGTGTCAGCTGCAGTCCCACCCCCCCGGTTCTCGTCCTCTCTCCGAACAGTAAAGAGGGGCCTCGGTTCCCGAGAGCGGCGGGTGGGTCGGACAGCACCCCGAGCTTGCCCGGGCGGCGCCGGCCCCTCCCCGCACGCCGTGGCCGCCCGGCCCGCCCCTCCTCCCAGAGTCCCGGGCGCTGGCCGCGGTGCTGAAACGGAGCTGTCCGAGGAGGGAGGGAGGAAGGGCCGAGCCGAGGGGGCGGAGCTCTCTGGAGCCCTGGGCTGGACACCCGGAGGGGCAGGGCCGCGCCAGCAGGCCCGAGACCCCCGAGGGCTTGAGAGGAGGCCGGAGACCAGAGACAGACGGGCTAAAGCGGACACAGGCACCTGGACCAGCTTCCCCTGAAGAAGCCAAGGTCGTCTTCCTTGTCCTATTAATCCTTTTTCCACTACCTTGGAAGAACCCTCACTTTGTGCCCTGACTTTAGCCTCCTCCCCAGACCCGGCTAAGGAGTGACCCGCTTCAGGGCCTCCATCCGCACAGACACCTTCAGCCCACAGGCCCCTGCCCAGGCCCTGCGCTCTCGCCATGGTGAAGTTGCTGCCTGCCCAGGAGGCAGCCAAGATCTACCATACCAACTATGTGCGGAACGCCAGGGCGATCGGCGTGATGTGGGGCACGCTCACCATCTGCTTCTCTGTGCTGGTCATGGCCCTCTTCATCCAGCCCTACTGGATTGGGGACAGCGTCAACACACCCCAAGCAGGCTACTTCGGCCTTTTCTCCTACTGTGTGGGCAATGTGCTGTCCTCCGAGCTCATCTGCAAGGGCGGCCCTCTGGACTTCTCCTCCATCCCCTCAAGAGCCTTCAAGACTGCCATGTTCTTTGTGGCCTTGGCCATGTTCCTCATCATTGGCTCCATCATCTGCTTCAGCCTGTTCTTCGTCTGCAACACGGCCACAGTCTACAAGATCTGCGCATGGATGCAGCTGGCAGCGGGTGAGCAGGGATTGTGGTTGGGCAGGAGGGGCTCACCCTAGACCATAGGGGCAGCTGCACCATCTCATCCTCTGTGGAGGCCCTGGGTCTCCTACTCAGCTCTCCTGCTTTAGCCTGGCCCTCCTCAGTGCTCTGTAGAAGCTTCTGAGGAGTAAAGAACCTTAGAATGGCTGAAATGGAAATGACCTTTGAGACCAACTTGTCCAACCGCCTTATCTTGCTGATGAGGAACTGAGGCCCAGAGAGGGCAGGCGACTTGCCCAGTAGCACACAGCTAGTTGGTAGAAGGAATCAGGTGTCCTGACTCCCAGGCTATTACACCAGAGGCTGTTGCTGCTCTGGGAGGGAGAAAAAAGAAAGCTTCCATTGTGGCTATGTGGGAGTGTGACCCAACTGCAGGGCAAAATAGTGATGCCAGTCGAGCACATTCTAGATGTCCACATCACCCTCTTCTGGGCATTTGTTCTTTGTCCTCTAAGGGTCCCCAGATCCTTGCCCTCACTCCTTCCTTCCCAACCCAAACTGCTCTCAGGGAAGACTTTAAGGTGAGTCATGGATTTAGAATGTTATGCTGAATGTGGTTCCCATAGAAACTTGTTTTTAAGTTGCCTCTTTCATTGTGGAATGAAAGTCCTTGTTCCCTAATTATAGGATTCCATAGTTGAGGTAGTAAGTGGCAATGGCATTGTCTGATATGGAGGGAGTGCTGTTTAGGGTCTTTAACACTATGTAGGGTAGGTGGTTACTTGTGGTGCTCAGAGGCAAGAGCTCGCAAACCCCCTTTTCCTCCTCCTGGACCAGGCAGGACTCCGTGGACCAGCTGGTCCTACTCTCATCCAGAGCTCAGGAAAAGATGGACTAAGACCTTGTCCTGCAGCCCTTGGTCCCTCCCCACCCACGGACTTCACTCAGCCTATCTGTACTGGAGAGATGTCCAGGACAGTGTGCCTCAGGACAGTGCTGGGGACTACAGACAAGAGTGGAACCACTTGGCATGGTTGGCTAGAATGAGAAGCAGTGTTATCATTAACAGGGGGAGTGAATCAGGAATCAGAATCCCAGGCAACTAAACACATAGACTCAAGACTCTCAGAGTTGGAGGGGACCCCAGAGAGCTGCAGCTTCCTGCCTCCCAACTATAGATGAGTATCCAGGGCGGAGAGAGATGATAAGACTTGGCCAAGCTATAGTAGGTCAGCTAGCAACCAAGACCCTAGGAGAACTGAGGCCGAGTTGCAAATTTATGTAGCATAATGGTTTGCAGATTCCTTTCACTTATATCACCTGGAGGAACCTCATCACGATGCAGTGAGATGGGTTTCCTTCCATTTTACAGATAAGGCTCCTAGGGGGTAACTTGTCTTTGAGCACACAGGTAGTGAGGGACAGAACCTTTTATTCCAAATCTTGTACCCAGGCCCCATGTACGCTGGCCTTTTGCCAGGCTTCATAGCAGCCTCCCAACCCGCCTCCCCCATCTCCTCTTTCTCTGTAGTCTCTCTATGTGATGAGGGACAGACTGAGCAGGGATGAAACGAGCCTTGGTGAGCAATGGGGAGGAAGAAAGGGAAGTGAAAATTTAGCAGTTTTGTGACAACCGCTAGAATGGACCATGGTGTACTCATCAAGTGGTTCTGCATATCAGAGTTATGGGATGCTAACACACGACCATCCTTCTCATTCTCTGCACAGCCCCTCCCCCAGCCTCCCACAACAGGTGTCATTTGCTGAATAGGCAGTCCTGGAAGGGCCTGGGTGGGGCGGTGGCCATCTGGCCATCTGAGCCAGCCTCTAGGTCATGGAACCGGAGACACTGTTAGCAGAGGTGGCCAGGTGCCATCCCATGAAACGTTTATGTTGGGGGAGAGCAAAGGTGGTGTCTTGTTCCCTTCCTCAGTGCTGGGGAAGAGAAGATGAGCCGAGGGAGGGATCAGGAGGGGGTGTGTCCCACAGCCAGCAGCCGGGAGATGCATCTATTTGAAGAGGCCTTAACCAGTTAGCTTGACCTTGCCAAGAAGCTTGGGACCAAGAAAGGGAGCAGGAGAAAGGGAAGAGGACTGATGGCTCTGGCAGGGTGCTCAGTGGTTAGTGTTGGCCTGAACAACAAAGGGTCATGGATTTGATTCCCAGTCAAGGCATGTGCCTGGGTTGCAGGTTCAATTCCCGGCCCAGGTCAGGGTGTGTGTGAAAGGCAACCAATTGATGTGTCTCTCTCACATCAATGTTACTCTTTCTCCCCCTCCCTCCCTCCCTCTTACTCTAAAAAAATAAACGGAAAAATATCCTTGGGTGAGGATTAACAAAACAAAACAAAAAAAAGAGGACTGATGACTGGTGGTTGGGCCAGTGTGGGACAGTACCCTAACAATATTAATGGGTGCCAGGTGTAGGCTGAGAGTGGTCCCAGCTCCTAGAAACATGGGAAGGGCAAGTGGCATTCTTGGTAACTTCATCTGTATATTGTGGCCACAGTAGCCCCAGAACAGGGTGTTGCGAGGACGGGATGATATAATGCAAAACACCGTGCACATGCCTGACACATGGTGGGTGCTCAGGGAGAAAAACACAAAAACAACTTTATCTGTCACAATGGGCATGGCAATACCACAGTAATGAACAACTCCCAAATCTTAGTGGCTTAAAATGAAGGTTTCTATCCGGTGGCCTGGATGGAAGGTTTGTGAAGGAAGCAGAGTGTACTCGTTGAATCGAAGATTCCTGAGTTGTGGGGCACACTGTTGTTCTGTGCTGTAAAAAGGAAAATACGTCTAATCAAACTACGGCCTGAAGCTTTCTCACTGTACTTGTTTCAGAGATGTTGAAATATGAACAAATGTACATCTCAGGAGTGATGGTTGTCTGGGCCGGAAGCCGATTTTGGAGGGCTTGGAAGCCAGGGGAGCCTGGTGGGACACCTGGTGGCTGGGCAGAACCCGCCCTGGGCTGCGGAGCCTGGCTCTCTGCCTCTGCCCCTGCCCGCTGGCTCCCAGGGCAAGCTGCTGTAGCTCTCGGAGCCTCAGTTTCCTCCCAGGTTCTCCACGAAGGATGGTAGCAGCTGCCCCTGCGCCTGTCAAGGCTCATAACACAAAAAGGGAGGTGACAAGATGACAGTCGTGTGACTGGTAGTGGGGGGAGGGATGGCAGAATGAGCACACCCAGCCCGACACATCTGACCCCTCCCACCCCCCCAGCCACAGGCCTGATGATTGGCTGCCTGGTCTACCCAGATGGTTGGGACTCAAGCGAGGTGCGGCGCATGTGCGGGGAGCAGACGGGCAAGTACACGCTGGGCCACTGCACCATCCGCTGGGCCTTCATGCTGGCCATCCTCAGCATCGGAGACGCCCTCATCCTCTCCTTCCTGGCCTTCGTGCTGGGCTACCGGCAGGACAAGCTGCTCCCTGATGACTACAAGGCCGATGGACAAGGTAACTCCCCCTCCCCCAGGGAGGTGCAGCTTCCTCTCTGCCAGTCACCAAGGCTTGGCCCCTGGCGAAGAGGGGGGAGCCAAGTCCAATCAGACACAGCCTGTCTCAGAGGCCAAAGGCCAGTGGAAGGTTGCAACTGGCAGGCGATGAGGCCTGTGGGGCAGAGGCTGTCTATGGTAAAGGGTGTCCCCCTGCTCCCTGCATTCCCAGGGTCTATGGGGAGACTCCTGATCCAGTATGGGGAGCCAGGCATGGCCTCCCCTAGAAAGCGGCCCAGAAGCTGGGTCTTGAAGTACCCTTGGGAGTTTGCGAGGTGGACAGTGGGGCAGCGGGAGCAGAGGGGATGACTTGTTGGGGAAGGAGAGAGGCAGGTTGGAGTACAGACGGGAAGGCTCCAGGGCTGCAGGTGGGGGTAGCCTGAGCTCCCAGGGTGGTCAGGGTAGCCTTGGGGTCTCCAGATGCCCATCCTGTTTCAGTTTCCTCTTGTCCAAATCCCAGCCCCCAAGCATAAATGTCAGTTGTAGCCGACCTTGGAGGCCTGGGCGGACCCCTCAGGAGCCCCCCTTTGGCCTCCCTTCCTCCACGACTCCTGTCTCTCATTAGGCTTCTCCTCTATCTTGAGGGGCTAACTTTTCAGCACCTACATTTCATCTCCTTGTCATAGAGCAAGGCTTGTCTCACACCCTGTGAATCCCAAAATGCCTACTCTCAGCAGACAGCCACGAGGGGCCTGTCATACCTCAGAGACCTCTCCAGTCTCCTTACCCATCGTTGTCTTCATAGCGCCCCTTGGACCTGAACTAGGAGGCATAGCCCAACTCCCTTTCCCCTGTAACCAAAGACCCTTCCCAGGCGAAGAACCTGAGGCCTTCCAGGGAAGAGGAGCACAGAACTCGGGTCTTCTGTGGTTCAGCCCGGGGCCCACTTCCCCACAGGGAAGTAATTGGAAGAATCTCACCCTTCTTTGGAAGTAGAAGAGAGATTCACAAACCTAAGCTATGTGGTTAGAGAGGGAAACCAAATCAGCAGAATGAGCTGGGTCAAGTGGGAGAGAAGAGAGAAATACATTTCTACTGCAGTGGACTCCCACAGCCCCGGGGGCCTGGGGACGCTTAGGGCCCGGTCCTTGCAGACCCCATAAAGGAAGGGAAATGAAAGCAGTGTTTACTGAGCCTCCTCTGTGGTCAGGAGGGATGTCAGGTGCTCAGTGGCCGTTCTGTTCATCCTCACAGCAACCCTGTGAGGAAAAGCTGGAGGTGGGGTCCCAGGTATCTGCACAACTTTCTTCCAGGGAGGCCTCGCGGGGCTGCTGGAGGCAGGTTGTCTAGCTTCAGCCTCAAGGGGCCCCCTTAAATCTGCCTGGACATGCACACAGAGCATTTTTATATTACTCGTTTATATTCTTTTTTCCTCAAAAGGGATTTTTCAGCTAGAAAAAAATTTCATTCACATAATTCCTCTTTAAAGTGCTTTCTTATAAAGAGATGGTTTTGTTCCTTTGACACGTTCTTTTTTTTTTTGGTATGTGCCCTTAGTGGGAACCGAACCCGGGACTCTCTGATCCACAGGCTGACGCTCCAGCTGCTGAGTCAAAATGGCAGACATGTTCTTTACTAATCAAAATGTCAAGTCACTTTCCTCTCCTTTCATACCCCATGCATCTTGTCTTCAGTTTTTTGTTTGTTTTTTTTTCAGATTTTCTCCTGTGCATACGTTAGTCCCCTCACTATCCTACAGGATTTATTATTTTTATTACCTGTTAGAAAACACCCACATGACCTTCCTGAATACATCTAACTATTCAATGAAGCAGTTGTTGCTGTTGTCAAAGCATAACATTGGGTCAGGAGAGCTGAGTTTGAATCTCAGTTTTTTTGAGTCACTTGATCTCAGTGTTCTTTCAAGTAAAAGGGGGACAAAGCCCTGCTCTGCTCCCTCCAATATTGTGTGGCATAAATGAAACAATGAAAGCAGAAATGAAGCCTTGAACCCGTGCATCGTTGCCAATCTACTCTGTAGGTGGTTAAGGAAGCAGAGGAAAATGAGTGTTAGCTTTGGAGTCAGAACTGGGTTTAAAGTTTTGGCCCCACTGTTTACTAGCTGTGTGACTTTGTAGCGGTTACTTACCTTCTCTGGGTCTCGGTGTCCTCATCTGAGCCTCATTTCCATGGGGTTATGCTCAGGAACAAGATAAGAATGCCTGCTCTTTTCACTTCTATTGAACATTGTATTGGAGCTTACAACCAGGGTAATTAGTCAAGAAAAAGAAATAAGAGAAATTGAGTTTGGAGAGGAAGAAGTAAAAATATCTTTTTAACATATGACATGATTTTATATGTGGAAAATCCTAAATAACCCACTAAAGAACAATTAAAGCAAATATGCAACTTCAGCAACATTGCAGGATATAAGAGCAATATATAAAGATCTATTGTGTTTGTACACACTAACAATGAAAAAATCTGAAAACAAAATTAAGAAAACAATTTCATTTACAATAGCGTCAAAAGAATAAAGTAGGGGAAAAATTAACAAAATAAATGCAAAATCTATACATGAAAAATATTTTAAACGTTGTTGAAACAACTTAAAAGCCTAAATAAATGAAAACATCCATGTTCATGGATCAGAAACTTAATATTGTTAAGCTGCCCTGGCCAGTTTGGCTCAGTGGTTAGAACATCGGCCTGCGGTCCAGAGAGACCCGGGTTCGGTTCCCGCTAAGGACACGTACTTCAGTTGCAGTTTGTCCCCGGCCCTGGTTGGGTCGTGCATGTGGGAGGCAGTCACTCCATGTGTCCCTTTCACGCTGATGTTTCTCTCTGTTTCTTCCTCTCTCTCCCTCCCACTCTATCTGAACAAAAAATGGAAAAATGTCCTCAGGTGAGGATAAAAAAAGATACACACACACACACATACATATATACACACACACACACATATATACATATATACATACACACATATATACATATATACACACACATATATACATACACTCACACACATATATATATACATACATACACACACACACACACACACACACACACACACATATATAGTTAAGCTGGCAATACTCCCCAAACTGATCTACAGATTAGATGTAATTGCTATAAAAATCCCAGGTGGATTTTTGCAGAAATTGACAAACTGATTCTAAAATTCATATGAAAATGCAAGAGACCAAGAATAGTCAAAACCATGTTGAAGAACAATGAAGTTAGAGGATAAACGTATCTTGATTTCACAACTTACTACAAAGCTACAGTAATCAAGGTTCTACTTGAATAAGAATAGACATAAAGTTCAATGGAATAATATTGAGAGTCCAGATATAAACCCAAACATCCAGGGCTGACTGATTTCTAACAAGTATGCCAACATCATTAAATGGGGGAAATAATGGGATAATGGTCTTTTCAATAAACGCTGCAACAACTAGGTATCTACATGCAAAAAAAAAAAAAAAATTAAGTTGGACCACCTACCTTACATCATATATAAAAATTAACTCAAAATGGGTCACAAGCTTAATTGTAAGATACAAAATTATAAAACTCTTAAAAGAAAACATAGATGTCAATCTTTATGACTTTGGATTAGGCAAAGTCATACGACACCTAATACATAAGCAACCAAAGAAAAAAATAAATTGGCCCTGGCCGGTTTGGCTCAGTGGTTAGAGGGTCAGCCCACGGACTAAAGAGTTGCAGGTTCGATTCTGGTCAAGGGCACGTACCTCGGTTGTGGTTTGGTCCCTGGCCCTGGTTGGGGTGGTGAGGGAGGCAACCAATCGATGTGTCTGTGTCTCTCTCACATCGATGTTTCTCTCTCTCTCTCTCTCTCCCCCCGCCCTCCCACTCTATCTGAAGATAAATGGAAACATATCTTGGGTGAGGATTATAAAAAAATAAAATAATAAAATAAATTGGATTTCATCAAAATAGAAAACTTTTGTGCTTCAAAGGATACCATCAAGAAAATGAAAAGACAACCCATATATTGGAAGAAAATATTTGCAAATCATAATTATAATTTTAGTATCCAGAATATATTAAGAGCTCTTACAACTCAACAATAAAAACACAAATAACCCGATTTTCAAAATGGACAAATCCTTTCTTTCTCCAGAGAAGATATACAAGTGGCCATACGCACATGGAAAGATACTCAATATCACTAGTCATTAGGAAAATGCAACTCAAAACCACAGTGAGATATCATTTCACACCCACTAGGACAGCTATAATAAAAAGATGAACAAGTGTTGGTGAGCATGTGAGAACTTGGAACCCCTCGTACACTGCTAGTGAAATGTAACATTTGCATTTGCTGTGGAAAATAGAATAGCAGTTCCTCAATGGTTAAACATAGAGTTACCACAGGACCCAGCAATTCCATTCCTAGGTGGACATGCAAGGAAATTGAAAACATATGTTCATGTAAAAACTTGTGCATGAATGTTCATAGCAGCATAATAGTCAAAAACGTGGAAACAAGCCAAACGTGCATCAACTGATGAATGGGTGAATAATGTGTCTATATCCATACAATGGAATATTATTCAGCCATAAAAAGGAATGAAATACTGAAAATTGCTACCATGTGGATGAATCTTGAAAAAATTACGCTAAGAGAAAGAAGCCAGACACAAAAGACCACATACTGCATGATCCCATTATATAAAATGTTCAGAATGGGCAAACTCAGAGACAGAAAGTAGATGTTAGCAGTTGCCCGGGCCAGGGAGAGGGGGAGTTGGGAGTGATTGCTAACCGGCGCAGGGTTTCTCAGATGAAAACGTGTTGAATTAGCAGTGATGGTTACACAACCTAGTGAATATCCTTACCACCACCAAGTTGTATGCTTTAAATGAGTACAATTTATATTAGTGAATTATCTCAGTAAAAAAATAAGATTGTGCTGAGGATTAGATAGTGCATATAAAACACTAACATTGCCTACATATTATAGGTGATTAATTAATATTAGTTCTCTCCCCTTTCTGTCTTTCTAGTATTTCCACCTTTGTTTTTTTTTTATCCTCACCCGAGGACATTTTTTCGGTTTTTGTTCAGGTTAGAGCAGGCCGACGCTCTAACCACTGAGCCAACTCGGCCAGGGCTCCACCTTTTTTTTTTTCAATCCTCACCTGAGGATATTTCTCCATTTTTTTCATATAGAGTGGGAGGGAGGGAGAGGAAGAGAGGGAGAGAGAGAGAAACATCCACGTGAGAGACACTTCAACTGGCTGCCTCCCGTATGACCCCAACCAGGGCGGGGTGGAACTGGGACCAACCGCAACCGAGGTTCGTGCCCTTGATGGGAACTGAACCCGACTCATTGGTCGCAGGCCCACGCTCCAACCGCGGAGCCAGCCAGGGCTGGTATCTCCACTTTCTAGGTCGTCCGCCTGCCCAGCCAGCAGCGGCTCCTGCGCTCAGTTGCACCGACACCTCCAGGCCCTGGGGCGGTGGGGAGGGAGGAAGTCTCACCCGGACCTCACTGTCTCCTGCGGAGACAGCCTAGCAGTATGGAATTACAAGCTGATGAATGTTATGAACAAAAAGTGCAAAGCTTTCTTGAGAATGAGTAAGAGGAACACGATGGGGATTATCCTGAAACAAGCTTGGTTGTAAACAAGCACCATTTTTGCTGGTTTTCTTGCAGAGGAAGTCTGAAGCCGGCAGGACCAGTGAGTGATCCCCGGAGGGTGGTCCGCGCGTCTGCACGGGCTGTGGCTTCCTTACTGGATCTTCAGGCAGAAGGACTCGTGGGGCTGGACTGTGGGGCCTGTGAGGCGTCTGGGGACAACCCAGGGGAGGGGACCCAGCTGGCACCTGAGCTCTTCCCTGAGGGAAAACAGGAACTCTTCCATTTTATCTGGGTCTTGAGAAGGGAGAGAAGAAAGAATTTAAAGCAGGCAGGTGGTTTCATAAACTCGTGTTTCTGTGCAGTGTGGCAGACAAGAACGCCTCTCTAGAAGTCATTCCTGTAATTTGGACTCTGAGTTTCAGAAAGAATTGGAAGTGATTTGTAAGACATATACTAGGAAAACCTAATAAAATAGAAAACAAAAGTCATAAGAGGAAAACAAACATCCCAGAAAGCTGGGCTAATAGAAGTACTGTACTGAATATTAAACTTAGCTCAATGCTTTCTGATAGCCGAGGAGAAAAGAAAAACGTGAATTAACCAGTTTTAACGTATGGTTGGAAAAAAAAAAAAGCACAACATATTCATATCCTTATCGTCCTTTAAGTTTTCAAAAATGTGATTTAACAAGAACATTAAGGAACACATTAAAAAAAGAAGAAAAGAAAAGTCCAGGACAGGACCAGCTCCCTACAGCAGGCCAGTCACTTTGTGTGGATGGGAGAGAATATCTCCCTGTAAGCCATTTTGGTTTTTGCAAATTACCTTCCACTCTGTGACCACATAGATATACTTTTTTAAATAATTTTAAATCGGCATCGCGCCCCTGCCCTGCCCGCTTAGGTGTTCCTCAGACTCGCAGCTGCACCCGGGGAGCTGGTGTTCAGCGCAGGTTCTTGCTCGGAGCCGGGCCTCAGGCGGGCATTCCCACCAGCTCTCCTGTGCCGGGGCTGGAGTCACGGTCGCACTTTGAGTAGCAAACTACTAGAGATATTTTCTCACGTTTTTCCAGAGTTCATTGTTAAAGTTTTTGAAAGCTGCCAACTCCACAGCACTGGCGTGCCACTGAATTGCTAACCTGGACTGCGATTATTAGCCATTGTGGATTGCTCTCATAGATACCTTTCTGATAGATTCTGGAGTGGAATTACTGAGCCAGAGGTAACTGCCCCTCTATGTCTGCCCCCCCCCCCCCGCACTACATTTTATGTACATTTTAATAGACATGCATTTTTTTCTTGAGGGACACTGAATATTCTGATACACTAATGAGGAAGACTGCATGCCTTTAGAAATGAATCAAAATGTGAGCATCTATGAGGAAGTTTGTTTCTTTTTATTGGCTTTAAAAGTGTCAAATTTTATCACCTTAAATTCTTTGTTGTTTTTTAAAGGTCACAGGTCAGCCATTTCCCCGACACTGGAAAATTAGGGACTAGAATTCTTCAGCGAGAAAACCTGTTCCGGCCACACCTCCTGTCCCTGGCTGCTGCAGGCCCTCCGCCCCAAGCGCTGCACTGCAGGACAGACGCCGCGGGCTCCTGGACGCTGCGACTGTCTGCAGAAAACCTTCAGCTGTAGCAGAACCGCAGTGACCCGCATCAGCGATATCCAGACCTGGGTCCCTCTCTCCTGGCTGGGGACCCAAGTTCTCTTCTGATCCCTTCATACCCACAAATCACTTTTCCCTCTGAAAAGAGAGGGTGGGATGAGCCCATGTCCAGGGGCCTCCAGATCGGGTCTCCCACAGCCCAGTCAGCCGAGGACACCTCCTTTATAGCCACCAGCTCTCAAGGGCGCCCGAACAAGAGGTGGCTAAATGATCTGGATCCCTGCAGGCTGAAGTTCAGAGGGTCCTTTGCTTCTCCTTTCTCACATTTTGTTTCCTTATTGGTGCTCAGAAGAGGGTGAGGAAGAGGCCACCAGAACCTGAATCCATCAGGAAGTCAGTCTAATAACTATTGGTGAACAGAGGATCTAAAAATTTGGGACTAAATTTATTTTTCCCCCTTTAGAACCCAAATCACACCTCTTCAGAGTGCCCACGCTGACCCCTTGGGAACTGGCTCCCAGATTCAGAAATCTGCTCATTGTGTTCAAGTAGTTTGTTATAGTAATCGATGACACACCTTGGAAAACACCTTGGATTTGGCACCCTAAATGGTGACTCTTTTGCCAGCCTCCACAGGGGAACTCCATTTAGCTAATACCTCACTGCAGCAAATGCCAAGACAATGGCTGGTTCTTCAGGCTGTTCCCTGCCCGGGGGGTGGTGCAGAGAAACAGGGTTTTACCTGCAGTGATCGAGCCCAAGGAACAGGTGTTTTCTGCGTGGGCACTGCTCTCTCATCGGTGGGGGGTGAATGCGAACAAAGCTGTAGTGGGTCTGTCATCACCTGGTCCAGCAGCAGTCAGGAACATGGGACGCAGCGAGGTTCTCACTCCTGGGCTGCAGGGCACGATGTTTCAGCAGCACACTGACCACTGGCCCAGTCTGTGCAGCGCTTCTTCCCCAGCTCAGTGGGGCAAGAGTGAGCCGCCCAGCACTGTGCCAGGTGTTGCTGATGGAACTTGTAGCGTGGGATTTAAGAACGACCATCTTCAGCCCGTCTGATGTGGCTCAGTGGATTGAGGGTTGTCCCATGGACTGAGAGGTCCCGGTTTGATTCCTGGTCAGGGCACCTGCCGGGGTTGCAGGCTTGCTCCCCAGGGTGGGGGTGGGGATGCAGGAGGCAGCTGATCAGTGTTTCTCACATCGATGATGTTTCTCTTTCCTCCTTACTCTCCAGAAAATCAATAAAAACATAATTAAAAAATAACCATCTTCTTATTTTCTTTTGCTGGTAAGATTATTTCAGAGCTAGGCTTGGTGAATGACAGAATTTTATAAGTTCTGTAGCTTAGTGAGTTTTCAGCTATGTTTCTTCACTTATTTCTTAAAAATTTTTTCTTATTGATTTTAGAGATTGGGAAAGGGAGGGGGAGAGAGGGAAGGAGGGAGGGAGGGAGGAAGAGAGAGAAACATCGATCAGCCACCTCACAACGCGCCCCAACCAGGAATTGAACCCACAACCTTTTGGTGCACAGGGTGATGCTCCAGTGGAGCCACACAGGCCAGGACTGTTTATCTCTTTCCTATAATCTTACTTTTGATACAAGGCAAAACAATTTCTAAAAGCCTTTCTACTGTCAAAATATTTGTCCCTGAAATGGCAACTACGGTGATTCACAGAAGCTTCTGGGGGCTTGAGGTACACCGGCAGGAGCTCACCCCCCTCCTCCCCCGCAGCTCACCTCCCGCAGAAACTCACACCCCCAGCTCACCTCCTACAGGAGCTCACCCCCCCGCAGCGCCCCCCCCCCGCAGGAGCTCGCCCCCCCCCCCCCCCCCCCGCAGGAGCTCACACCTCGCAGGCACAGGGAGCTTCAGTGCTGGGGAAGGACCTGCAAATGAGTCACCACCCAGCATTCCCCCTTTAGCTTTATCTTCAAGGAAACTCAGAATTCAACCTCTCCGATAATAGTAATATTTTGTTGATACCTAGCGACTACTTACCAGCTCTCTAAAATGGCTTTACCTTTAAATTCTTAAAAGGCACCTCCAATCTTATCTTTGAAAGTATGTAGAAAACCAGTAAAACCAGCACTCCTCAAACCAAGTTGCTTACTCCTTCCTCATTCACTTCTGGCCTGTCTTCAGCTGGGGCTTAGGGAAGGTCGAGATGCCCCTTTTCAATGACTAGCCCTGAGCAGATATGGCCAAGAGAGGAAGGACTAGTCCTTCATACCTGAAATCTGAACTAGGATGACACCCCGAATGCTCTCATTATCTCACATCCCTGCATTACCTGTTGCTGCATAAAACATTACCCAGAACTCAGTGGCTTTAAAACATTTTAGTTTCACCCTGGCTGGTGTGGCTGTTGGCTGGGCGTCGTCTCGTGCACCAAAGGCTGCTGGTTTGATTCCTGGTCAGGGTACCAGCCTGGGTTGCAGCTCAATGTTTCTATCTCTCCCTCCCTTCCTCTCTAAACCAACCAACCAACCAACCAACCAACCGAAAAACCATTTCAGTTCCTGTGGGTTAGGACCCGGCAAGTCTCAGCCAAGTGTCTGCTCCAGGTTTCTCAGGGCTGCAGTGGTGCTGGATGTGCTCCTGAGCCCGGCGGTGTCTGCAGGCCTTTCTCACAGGAGGCTGTACAGAGGGCCTCTCCCCAGGGTACTCACATAGCACGTGCTTCTCAGAGCAGGGGTTCCAAGATGAGCAAAAGAAGGTGCACAGACAGTAGCCATATCCCTTTTGTAACCCAATCTCGGAAGTGACATCCTGTTAAATTTGCCTTAATCTGTTAGGACAAATTCCAGCCTACATTCAAGGCAAGGGGAATATAAGTATGGGAATAAAAGGTAAGAATCATTAGAGTCCTTTTATTTTTTTAAATGTTTTATTGATTTTAGAGAGAGGGACTGGGGGAGAGAGAAACATAAATGAGAAACCTCATCAGTCAGCTGCCTTCTGCATGCCCCCTACTGGGGATCAAACCCAGAACCGGGGCATGTGCCCTGACCAGGAATTGGATCGGCAACCTTTGGTACACGGGACTACACCCAACCAAGCCACACGGGCTGGGGTCCTTTTATTTTAAAAAAAAAAAAGGTTTTTTCTTTATTGATTTGAGAGAGAGGAAGGGAGAGGGAGAAACAGAAACATTGATGAGAGAACATCGATTGGCTGCCTCCTGCACGCCCCCCACTGGGGATTTGGCCCACAACCTGGGCATGGGCCCTGACCGGGAATCAATCAGTGATCTCGTGGTACACGGGTTGACACTCAAACACTGAGCCACACTGGACGGGCTGGGGAAATTTAAAAGTTGGTTTTTAGTCATTCATAATTACTTTAATTTTTTGGTGACATAATGAACTACTTTAATTTTCTGCTGAGATGTACACCTACCGGAATGCTTTCCTAGAACAAAGGTTAGGTCCTAGTAAGCTCACATGCTGCTGATGGGAAAACATTTGATTTGCAGTAAAGTTGCTTAAGATGTGAAAAGGGCCCTAACCTTTGAAACTCACCTGACTTTTGTTACCTGACCTCGAGAGGATTATAATAGCATCCACTAATTCCCAGCATGGGCCATACTTCCTTCTACACTTGGTAAACCCAAAGCTACCAATGCAGCATCTCAGCGGACCCTCTAAGAACAGCTCCAACTGTGAGCAGTCAAAGCACCTTCTGTAACAGTCCAGTTCTGCCAATTGGATAAGGACTGTTACTGTATTAAAACGGACAAATGCTAAATCTGAATTAAGGACAAAAGACGTAAAAAGTGAACTTGGGAGAATATAAAATCAAACTGATCATCTATATATTAAAAACTCTCCTCCCTTTATAAGGAATAGTGCAGGGGGTAACAGAACTAGGTAGCAATGTAAACTTGCTTAATTACTTAGTTAAAACTTTTAAACACTTAACATGTCCTCAGATATTTAAACTGGGTTATTTTTGACTTCACAAGGACTTGGTGTGGACTAATATTTGTGTAAGTACTTAAAGACAAATACATATTATACACTTAGTTTTTTAATCCCAATTTTAAGACTTAAACAAGACTTCAGTGACAAAAAAACCTTCTTAATATAACTCAAGGTCCATATATTATATATATATATATATATATATATATATATATATATATATATATATATATTTATCCTCACCCGAGGACATTTTTGCATTTATCTTCAGATAGAGCCGGGAGGAAGGGAGAGAGGGAGGAAGAAAGAGAAACATTGATGTGAGAAAGACACATCGAGGACTTCCGGTCAAGATAGCAGGTAGGTAACCGCGGTATCGCGTCCTCCCACAACCACATCAAAGTTACAACTAATCTACAGAACAACCATCATTCAAAACCGCCTGACATCGAGCTGAATGGCAGTCCTACAACTACGGGATTAAAACAGCAGCCACATGGAGACTGGTAGGAGGGGCGGAGGGGGAAGGGCTGGTCCCACACCCACGTGTGGCGGATAAAAATCAGGAGGACACCTCGGCTGGAAAGGTCCTCCCTGAGGACTGAGGGGTTCCCATCCCACACCAGGCCCCCTGCTCAGGGTTCCAGTGCCAGGAAGAGAATCCCCATCACTTCTGGCTGGAAAAACCAGCGGGAACTGAGGCTCAGGGAGGCTGAGGCGGCTGGAGCCCCAGGCAGCTCCTTAAAGGGCCCGCGCACGGACTTATCGGATTCTCTCCCTCTGAGCTTGGAGGGGAGGCAGCTCGAGGGGCGCCAGAGACATACAGGGAAGAACTGAGCTGTTTGGCACTGGAGCAAGGGCTGGAGAGGGGGCTTTCTCCTGGACAGACGTGCTGTCAGAGGCCTTTGTTCCTTTGGTGAGCCCTGCCCTGGGGCGGCTGACAGCCACCATACCTGGGACTCCAGCAACCTGGCTCACACTAGTAGCCCCGCCCTGGTGACTCCCTGAGGCCCCGCCCCACCCAACTTTCAGGCCCACCCAAGCTGCTGCCAGTTGCTTCACCATAGGATTGGTCTGTCTAGTCGGTTTGGCTCAGCGGTTGGAGGTTGGAACCTGTGGTCCAGAGAGACCCGGGTTCGGTTCCCGCTGAGGGCACGTACCTCGGTCGGGTGCAGCTTGGCCCTGGTTGGGTTGCACGGGAGGCAGCCACTCGATGTGTCCCTTTCACGTCGATGTTTCTCTCTCTCTCTCCTTCCCACTCTATCTCAACAAAAATGAAAAAATGTCCTCAGGTGAGGATAAAAAAAAAAAAGGGAGAGAGAAAAACATTGGTATGAGACACATGGATCAGTTGTCTCCTGCACACACCACGACCAGGGGTATTAAACCTGTGACCCTTCGGTCGATATTCTAACTCCTGAGTCAAACCTATCAGGGCCTGACTTAATATTTTCAGGTTGTTTTTGAAACAGGTGTGGCTCAGTTGGTTGAGCATCGCTCCATGGACCGTCACTGGTCTGATTCTGGGTTGGGGAACATGCCTGGATTGTGGACTTGATCCCCACCCAGTCAGGGATTGTGCAGGAGGCAGCCGATCGATGTTTCCCTCGCATCGATGTCTCTCTCTCCCTCCCTCTCTCTAAAAAAATCAATATAAACATTTTAACTATATTAAAAAGAAGCAAGCAAACAACAAACACAAACAGGCCCCGTTGTGGCCAACACTGCAGTACGGACACTGTGTCGTGAACAGGGAATGATGAAAAAAAACACATTAGCCAGAGCAGTGTGTGCAGGTCAGGGTGGGGAAGGACTTTCCATGACTAACACTAAAAAGATCACAAATAAAAATGAAAAGCAAATTAAAAACTAGAAAAGAATGTGATGGAAAAAGTAAAAAAAAAAAAAAGCATTACCAAGTTCTTATCAAGTCATCAAATTGGGAAGTAGACCGAAAGAAAGCTGGGTGACATGGACAAATCACCTAAAAATACAAATAGGCAGTAAGACCCATAGAAGACATTTCTGACCATACCCAATATGAAAATTTATATAAGACACTCCCTTTTTTGGGCAAACTGGATATTAGGAACAAAATGAGCGAGATTACAACAGGCCTATTCAAACACTTTTGGTCAGAGCAAACCAGTCCAACTCAACTGTTCCCTGAATAAGTTTGGCAACAATTAAAAGCCTTAAAAATGTGCTTACTCTCTGGCCCAGCCATTCCATTTCTACGAATTTATAAGGAGTAAATCAGACAAGTGCATGAAACTTGTGTACACGTGCTCACCATGCCAGCACCTTGGAGTTCACAAGTCTTTGGCATTTTGCACAAACGGCGATTGTAATCTGAGGAAAACACACCCCATGAACATTTTGGGACAAATATTGCCAGATGTAGGGAACAAAATTTTTCTTAGAACTTTCCAAAATGTAGTTAGCCCACCCCAATGCAAAGATAGAAGCAAAGCTACCCCCCCCCCCACCCCCAACAGCTTGTGCTCAGGCTAGTTTCATTGTGTTCAAGATCAAAAGCACCCGGAACCACTCCCTTCCTCCACTCTGAAGCGTGGTCGGACCAACCTGGGCAGTAAACCACCACCAGTCTTCTGGAAACGTGGGTTATTAAACTGTTTATTGTATTGCATTTACAAAGAAAACAGACAATGCATCCAGTAGAAAGAATAAAAATGTATTCAGGGTTTTATTTTTAACCGACAGCAAATAGAAATCTTTTAGTGAGATCATGGCAATTTGACGTATTATGATTAAGTTCAATAAAGGTACATGGGGAACTTGGAAGATCAAATTCTACAGCTGCCTCTTTTTACCGCTTCTAATTTGGCTCCTTGAATGATGGGGGAAGCCCTTAATTCATGAGAAACAGTTCCAAAATGAAGCTATAGATTCTCCTACTAAAAGTTCTTTTCATGTCAACTGTTAAAAGGGTGTTTCTATTTAAGTTTTGGTTATTTCACTTTGATATCACCACCAGAATTTCTGTAATCCCACAGTTGTGACTTCACAGTGTAGAATTCAGTTCTAATCTATTGCTTTAGATGTATATATATCGCTGAAAACCCAGAGTGTATTGGAATTGCTGAAGGATTTTCCCTGCCGTTGTTTGATACAATCCATTCTTTATTTTTGATAGGTGCACAGACAGCCTCACTTCAAATTCTTTCTATAGGAACATGTCTGATTTCAGGACTACCCCATCAAGGATCCGATGAATGGCTGGCCATAGTTACTCAAGGTAATGTTTGAGTTAAATGGATTGCATAATTGCATCACCTTTTCCTTTGCCATTGTTGGTGGATAAATGACAGAATCTACATTCCAATTCTCACAGAGAAAATTGGCTACCCACGTCTCATTGGAAGATTTGCTAGTAGAGCCTCAAGCCGCACCTCCTTGGTGTCCGTGCCTCAGTCCTGTGGCCGCTTCCGGGGAATGCTGTAATCCCCAAGGCCCACTTGGTCCATGCTGAACAAGCGCCTGGGGCCGCTATCATGCCCCTTTTATTTTTCAGTATGACCAGAGAAACATGAAGTCTAGGGCAAGGCTGAGAGAGACCCACCCTAAAGTAAGATTCACAAAGCCTTTTCTCATTTGAAAAAGAAAAAGCCTCAAGTACATCTCAATCATGTCAAAACTGCAGTTAAAAACTTACATTATACAAGGAAATAGCAGCAGAGAATGGTTAATCCTAAACCAACAACAAAAACCCCACAAAAAAATCCAAACCCTCAAAATAATGAAAAAAAGTGCCATCCCACCCCTTCCCTTGGTTCTTTCATCCTGGGATTTCATTTAAGACCTGAAGCCTCTGAGAAAATGAGAAAGGCAAAGCCACAGAAGGAAACTGCTTCAAAGCTACATTTTGGACAAGGCAAAGAAAATGCTGTAAATAAAGGTTTGGGGATTGCTTGGAAAAGAATGAAGAACTCTAGGACATTTTCTTCTTAGGTGGGAATTCTCTGAAGTCCAGATCTCCTTTATGGAGTCATCCTGAATTCTTTAGTTTTGGGGCAATAAACCCAAGTGAAATGAGTAAAGTGCCAGCCAGGGATTAAAAGACCCCCCCCCCCCAATCCCCAAACAGCCAATCAAAATAACTCTGCTGTTAGACACAGGAAAGGACTGTTTGCAGAACACCTGTGGTTCAGAAGAAATTACTAGTCTGTGGTTGTTTTTGTTTCCATCAAAGTCAGACTGAAGTTTCAAGGCTGTTATTAAAGGATAATAAGAACATGACTGTTTAGAACAGTGATAAAATGGTACCCAAATCTGGTGTTTACACAGCTCATTTAAAAAGACAGTAGCTTAAAAGTCGCAGGAAAAAATGTGAACATAGAGAACAGAAACAATCCAGGAAGATGTTGCAGCCCGGATGCAGCAAGTTTAATGTCTCTGCTGTACAGAGAAGTAACACCCTTCCCCCCGTCTCATCCTTATGCTGGCAATAGGATATGCACTAGAAAATTGACTCTTAGAGTCAGTGAATAAAAGGATGAGCTCATACATCTGCATAGCTCTTTTTTAAAAGGCTGCTTATAATTTAAAGGATGTCCTAATGGAAAGACAAGGGTACAGGGCAAGAGGCTGTTGCACATTTTAGTCCATTAGTCTTTGGTAAAGCCCAATCAAGGCCAAATTCATCTAGGATGCCCAATGGCTGTGGGGGGAATCTCCACAGGGTCCAGTAAGCAGACCCAAATGAACATGTCTGGGAAAAAACAACAACCCCAAACCTAGAAACCCTTGAAGAAAGAGCTTCACCCTGAAAAGGGAAGTGGGAAATGCTTGGCGGGGAGGAGGGGGGAGGAGGGGCGGAGGGTCAGCGGAGGATCAGCGTGTGATCTCTGCTGCAGAGCTGGGCTGGGGCTTAGGAGTTGAGCCAAGGGTGTCGGAGACAGTCAGCGGCAGTGGCTCTCTTCTCGGGGATCAGCTCCAACATGGGCAGTAAGAAATCCGTGAAGCCAGCTGCCTCTTCCTGAGACCACTCATATTTCTCCACTAGAACCTCAAAAAGGCCCCAGGGTTTCAGCTTCGTGATGTGTTTCAGGTCACCTATGGTAAAAACAGTACAAAAGAAACTGACCAACATTGACAAGTGACAAGGTACTTTTGTGGAAACCCAGGAAGGAATCCAGGTAGTCTATAAGAATCAAATATCACCATCAGAATTTAACCCTACGTCTACAAAGTACCCCCTTTCTCTACTGCAGTCCCCGGAAAGAACTGTCTTCATTCTTCACGAGGGCCTAAAAATTTAAGAAAACTTGTTTGCTCCACAATTCCAGGATTTTAGTCCCAGTCAAGTTCAGTGGGGCTATAAGGATTTTTACTAAAATGAGTATTAAATGTCTATGTACTCCACATGTACTCAGTATGGTGTTCACAAGCAGTTTATAACCACACATCAAAAACAATTTGCTTGCATTTTTTTTGGCTTGATAATATAGTAAATGTTGCTTCAAAATGGGCAGTCTTTAAAAATAAGGAGCCACCCGGCAGGTGTGGCTCAGTGGTTGAGCATTGACCCATGCACCAAGAGGTTGCCAGTTCAATTCCTATTCAGGGCACATGCCCAGGTTGTGGGCCAAATCCCCAGTGAGGGGCATGCAGGAGGCGGCCAAATGATGCTCTCTCTCATTGATGTTTCTGTCTCCCTCTCCCTTCATCTCTCTCTAAAATCAATAAAGGAAAAAAAAAAAAGGAGCTAAGAAAACAAAAAAATAAATAAAAATAAGGAGCTGAAACCATGTCAGAGATGGTTAAAAGCGGAGATGGCTCAGCGGTTAGAGCGCCAGCCCGCCGCCCAGAGAGACCCGGGTTCGGTTCCCACTAAGGGCACATACCTCAGTTGCAGTTTGTCCCTGGCCCCAGTTGGGGTCGTGTGGGTGGCAACCAGTTGATGTGTCTCTCTCACATCTGTTTTTCTCTCTCTCTTCTTCTCCCTCTCCCTCCCGCTCTATCTGAAGAACCCCATATAGTTTCAGAGATGCTGCACCACACTGTACTATCCTAGAATGTCAATATAAGATATGTCAACTGTCAGTGGCTATTAAGGTAAATGTTGCTTTGACATGTTTTCTCAGACAGCACTTATCGGAAGCCTCTCGTGTGGGAAGTGACTGCCTGTTTAACTACCTGCGTGGTGCTGGCAGTGCATTGGTCTGACTGCAGAGGTCTGACACAAGGAGGAACTCTTAGGAAGCACTTCGCCATTTTCCTGCCCAAAAGAGGAACGGAATGTTTCTGAGTATGCTTGCTGTCAGTGCTGGGAAAATGATTTTTCTTAGCACTACAGTACAGGTTGCAAGGAAAAAGGGAACCATGGCAAAAAGGGGGGGGGGGGGAAGGCCAGACAGTTTTCTAGTCTTTCCTAAGTCAGGTTTTCACATTTCAGCTTTTAAACTTTATTTGAGCCCTGGCCGGTTTGGCTCAGTGGCTAGAGTGTTGGCCTGCGGACAGAAGGGTCTTGGGTTTGATTCCAGGTCAAGGGCATGTATCTTGGTTGCAGGTTTGATCCCCGGCCCTGGTCGGGGTTGTGCAGGAGGCAACCAATGTGTCTTTCTCACATGGATGTTTCTCCTTCCCTCCCTTTCTCCCTTCCACTCTATCTTAAAATCAATGGAAAAATATCCTCAGGTGAGGATTAACAAAAACAAGAAAACCACTACTACCACCAACAAAAAAACTTTATTTGGAATGCAGAAGAAATACATAGTTAAATACGATAACATATATTATCAAGTCAAAAATTTGAAGTGAGAGTTTTATCTGTTTTCTCCACTAAGAAGTGATAAACCTGAGAGACCACGAAGTATAAAGTTAATTCACATGACTGATGTATTGAAGGGACTGTGCTAGGTGTCTAAGGGCTATCAAATAAGTAAGATTGCTCTTAAGCTTAAACTAAAATGCTTGCCTGCCCTTTGACAGAGCCAGTTCTTAGGCCAAAGGCTAGCAAAAATCTGCCCATTTTCCAGAAGTGCTGTGTAGGAGTAATCAACCATGTGCCAGGTACTATACTATATACGTAGTAACCAATTTAATATGCTGTAAACACTATTATTATCCCTATTTAGAAATCAGAAAGCTGAGGTTGTGTCAATGGCCACATAACTGGAGCAGTGGGGACCTGAACCCACATGGTCTGGCTCCAGTTTCTGCTCTTGACCACACCACCTCTGCTAAGTAACAGCTTGCATTCATAGTAGGACCATACTTCCGTGGGTGCTGAAAACATGTATCCAGCTGTACTTACCTCTTAATTTTAAAATACTTTTGCCCCATGAATGTTTGGGAACAAACACATTTATTTTACCTTTTTTGGTGAAAAATTCCTTGGAATATTTTCCCGCCACAATGAGCTTGCGAGGCACCTTCCCCAGGAGTTCTATGATCAATGCAATGTGATCTGTATGTTTCAAACATTTCAAGAGGAGGAAAAAAAGACATACATAACAGGAGTAACAAATATAGTTCTGGACACTGGCAGAAAGAGTAGCATGCACACCACCTCATTGTAAAGCATTTCAGGCTTGCTTTCTGTCCTAAATGGGAAAAAAAGGACTCTATCCATCTAATGGAGAATCCAGAAAACCATAAAAAACCAGGTGCCCACTCCAGTGGGGGACTTGAATGACAAGTAAAACCAATCTTGGTGTGAATGCTCTGCTTCCTGAAGCTGTATCCCTGGGGCCTAAATGAGATCTCATGTTAACAATACTACCTCTGCGATTGAAGAAGTCCTGGGAATATTTCCCACTGAGGGCAAAGCGTCTTGGAATTCTGCCTATCAGCTCTATAATGTGCGCAATGTGGTCTAAAATAGAAGGGTAAGAAGAACAGGATAAAGGACAGGCTGTAAAAGAGGTTTTTCTATGAATAGCTTTTCAAGGACTAGCTGTTTAAAATTAACTACAAATAAAACCAAGGATACTCAAGGGGAGACTGGGAAAGTCAAGAATTATTTCAGGTGGTTGGTCACCTGATAGTAGCTGGCATGTCCCTTTTGGATTTTAGAGGCTTATCTACAACTTCATTTCTATTTTGTCTATATATATCTAAGTTCAGGTGGGATTCTAAGGAAAGGTAAAACAATGTACCAATATGCTTTTAGACATTATGGAACTGTTTACTTATAAGAATGTTCATGATAATTAAAACACTAACATATAATTATTTGAATTTTCACAATCACCCTGTACAACAGGCTAAAGATTTGCACACCATTTTAAAGACGAGAAACGGAACCTCAGAGAGAATGGTCCACTTGAAGTTGTAGGGCTAGTAAGAGCTAGAATGCAAATGAAAACCCACCTTTTAGTCCAGTACAGTGTGTGTGTGTGTTTAATACATCATACTTTTTAAGTAAAACCGAGCACAAACATTTTAAAGTATAGCTACCTGACTATTTGTAGGCCACTGAAATGTCCAAGTCATGCAGTGCTCACTAAATGTCACAGCATGAATGTGGACCCGTGCAGTCTGTCATCAGGAAGTGAGCTTAGACCAGCCTGCATCCAAACTACAGGCTGGTGACAGAAACGAGGACTGTGAAGAGGCTTTAAAGTGATGGCTCCTGGACACAAGAGCTTTATAAAATGAATTTAATCCTGTAGTTACAGAATCATCAATGTCAAAAGGAATCACTTAAAAACTTCCAATAATGTACCTAGACAGACACATAGCTGGGAATCTGTGAAGGTTTCAGGTCATATCTGTTTTTCATGTAAAGGACTCACTGGTGTCTTTTTAAAAGGGCTTTAAATTCATGAATTCACTATAACCTTTGGGCAGTTTTAATTTAATTTATGGTTTGATAACAAGTACTTGGTTGCCAAGAAATTTCTGCCAATTTTAGATGGGACCTGCAGATAGGTGTCTTTGTATAAATGAACTGCAAGACTATAGTTTGTGAGGCTTTAGTTTATTTTATTGTAAACTTCTAAATGAAATATTTGTTCTTTTATTATTTTTCCTATACCAAGGAATTATTTCTCTTGAAACTGGTATTTTACACTTAATCCCGAAAACCTATTAATCATTGGACTGATATATTTGATAGGCAAAATGATTATCAAGTATCATTCCAAGAGTCAGGCCTGTGGAATGTCAACAGTAACAGAAGACACGTTACTTAGGTCGAGTCCCACCATGACTTGTGACAAACTACATGTACTAGTCAGGGTAAGGGTTTGCTTTTTCTTGCTCTTATGGGCCAAATTGTAGTAGTCTGAGTTTCATCTAAGGACCGTTAGTATTGACTGGAAGAAAAATCAGGATCTAAATATCTAGGGTAGGCGCTTCCCCTTTATCCTTTACTTGAGACTTTTCTTATATATTTCAATTTTCAGGTCTGGTAGCCTAAGATTCTACACAACATAATTCTAGCCATTATATGTGTTCTGTACCACACACTATTTATAAGGCGTTTAGGAAAGTAAAGAGAAAAAAATTAATTTCCCTTCCAAAGAGATATAGTAGGGCATTTAAAAAACAATATAAATCTATAGTCCCAAACTTATATATAACCCAGAACAAAAGCAAGGAGAACAGGGAAAATCAAATGTATACAAAGGTCATAATTACAGTGTTTTCTTACACAGAGCTTATATACAGAAAACAACCAAACTGCACCCACTAAAATAGGCATTTGGCTATAGGAATTAGCACAGCATTTTCCAAATAGTACTTGTTAGAAATATCAGCAAGCCCTACTAACCTTGCCCCTTAATATCCCAGAGGACCACAGTATGAGAGAGAGAGAGCATCCTTGTTTCTATAGAGCACAAAACCTGACTTCCCAAAGAATCAAGGGAAGTACAGGGAGTAAAGGACTTATTTTCCACATTGGGAGGGTATATTGCTACTGCTCTCTCAAGCAATCCTGTTAATCCTGAAAACAAAAGCTGCCTACACTGTATTATAAAGAAGGTAAAATATGTAAGACTATTTTCATTCACATCATTAGCTCGTCTAGTTATTGGGATGCCACCATGATAGGAAATAAAATCATACACTCAGCTGTAAGGTTTCACAGCCTGAGACAAAGCAGCCGACAGCTTAGGCTCTTCCCAATGGCTATCACAAAATGTAAAAACAGTAATATTTTGTTTTAAAATGGAATTTTAAATATTAGTATCATCAAAATATATGGATTTAATTTTCATACGGGGGAAAATGTTAAAGGTTGCAGAATTTATACAGACAAGTAAGATAAAGTCTCTGGCCCTGGAGCATCGTACTATGCACTGGAAGGTTGCAGGGCGAAGTCCCAATAGTGGCGCGTATAGAAGGCAACTGAATGATGTTTCTCTCTCTCTCTTTCCTGTCTCTCTAAAATCAATAAATATATCCTCGAGTAAGGATAAAAAAAAAGATGTAGTCTCAGCATTCACCAGTAGTCTATGTTTATATATTAAAATTACTGACTTCCAGACAAAGTTGGAGGAATGACTGAGCAACAAGCTGATTAACAGGTAGATGCAAACTGAGTAAAGAATGAATCACCACTGGTTTCTACAGAAAGGAAGATAGCTAGATGTTTTAGAATACAAATTTTAGTTTAATCAATTGTGGCCTCCTCTAATTCTCATATAGAATTATTTAATATCTATTATAAAGTATCTAGTATATCTAATACCTAACATAAAACATCCCATATTTCTTTCTTTTCTGAAATTTATATACACTTAGCACACTAAGAAGACTAAGGCTCTTCATACTAACAAACGATGGTAGCCTCACGTGGAAAGAATAACCACCATGCACAAATATGCTCAGTTACGGGGACTTACCTTCATCTCGAGTGTACTCTTCCCCTGAATGAGGTTCAAACAAATAGTCACCTGTGGCCAGTTCAAAGGCCTAGGAAAAAGAGGACAGCACATGAAAACATTAAAAAAAAAAAAGGCCTTTGAGTTTATTTTTATTTGGCTCAATATTAAGTAACCTGCAGATAATCATTTATAAAAACACCTAAGAGTCCTGGCCAGTTTGATTCAGCAGTTAAGAGTGTTGGCCTGCAGACCAAAGTTGTGGGTTCGATTCCGGTCAAGGGCACATACCTCGGTTACAGTTTGGTCCCCAGCCCTGGTCGGGGTTGTGCAGGAGGTAGCGATCGATGTGTCTCTCACATCGATGTTTCTCCCCCTACCGCCCCACTCTATCTGAAGATAAATGGAAAAATATCCTCAGGTGAGGATTAAAAAAACAAAACAAAAATACATATACCCCAAAAGATTATACTTAAAGAGCTTTATTCCCACATCCATCTCTTAATAAAATGGAGCAGGAAAATAGCAAAAACTCAGTTAATATCAACACACAGATCATACCATGTCCTCCCTACCTCCTGCCAAACTGGCCATTAAGCTTTCACGTTTCTTTTTGCTCAGAGAAAGCACATCTGAACAGTAAGGTGATTTTAAGTTATTAAATTGTCATAAGAAAAGCAGGTCTTATTTTCTTACATTATAATTTTACATAGCTAGAAACTGAGATTCTGTATCCAAAACTGAAACCAAAAAATTCAGATATTTTTCTATCTATGATTCTTTTGTGTTTGGCAAATAGTACCTTTTAAAGTTTTGCTTTGGACACCACTCCCTAAACTGTCCCAGATAGAGGGGGTCCCAATTCCTAGTCCTAGAGAAAACCAGAGAAAGATGAAGCGTGAAGGGTGCAGGACAACGCACCATCTGCAGGGCTGACAGGTTAGCCTTCACCAACCAGGGCAAGACAACCTCTTACAAACAATGTTTAAAAGTGTCTGAAAAAGTGATTTCCTGTGGAATAAATGCCAAGCAGTATAAAAAGACAGCATCTCATGGGCCTATATTAATTTTTCATTGATTTAAATGGGTTAAAAAAACAATAGAACAGTTTTAAAAGAACCTTATTGATATAAAAGTGCAGTCAAAAGTCAAGTGCTAGTGGTGGGTCAACTTTGATCGAATCAATGGCACTAATAGTCTAGATAATCTGAGACCGTGGGGTGGCTTTAGTTGGGGCACATTCTCAATCAAGACCCATGTTTAGGTCTTGGGGGCTTGCCGGTGTCAGATTCTGCAGTTTCACGACAAGATAGTCTTTTTCAAAACAGTATTACCCAGGCTGTACTGCTGCTCAGAGCAAGGCCACAAAGCCAGAAGTTTTAGGATTACCTTGAAAATGTCAGGGATGCTATGGCCTCTTGCTAGGCACAGCGTTTTACACATTCTAGCAGTTCACTATGAAACTGAACCACACTGATAGAGCAGCCATCTGTGCTACCTCTAATTATCCTGAGGTTTACAGAAACAAATTGTGATTCTTATTCATCAAAATTGGTAAACCCTTCTGAAACCAGTACTTTAATTTTATCAAAATCTCATTAGTGGGAGTTCAGTAAAGATACTGAAACTAAAGTTCACAAAAATACAGAAAAATTTCTAAAACTTAAATTTTCTAGTTTTTTTTTAAATCTATTTACATATGGTTAAAGTTCTCTAGGAGAGTTTTATTTTTGAAACATAAGGTAGTTGCCAGTAGTTACAGTTTTACAAATAAGATAATAGCCAAAACCCTAACCAAACGATCTATCAGAACTGATAATTAGCAGAAGCTCTAGATAATACACCAGTTGAACATATTTCCTTTGCAGATGAGAAAACTGTGACCAAAAAGGCAAAGCTCACCCCACAATCCAGCTCCCAATTCTAACCCCCCATGACTGTCTCACACTGACCAAAGAGCCTGTTTAACATCACTCAGGTCCAGGGTGACAGACACAGGCAAAACAGTTATAAAAGCCAGTGTGCTAGGACATCCAGACAGCGAATTACTCAGTGCTAAAAAGATATGAGCTATCAAGTCATGAAAAGATCTTTTTTTCTTCATTGATTTTTAGAGAGAGAGGAAGGAAGAGGGAGAGACAGAAACATCGATGAGAAAGAACATCGACTGGCCACCTCCTGCATGCTCCCCACTGGGAATATGGCCCACAACCTAGGCATGTGCCCTAACCGGGAATCGAACCTGCGACCTCTTAGTGCATGGGTCGACGCTCAACCACTGAGCCACACCAGTCGGGTGACATGGAGGAATCTCAAAATATTACAAAGTGAAAGAAGCTAACCTAAAAGGCTATGTACTGTATGATTTCACGTACATGATACTCTGGAAAAGGCAAACTATAGAGACAATAAGAGTATCAGTGGCCAAGGGCTGGAGGGAGGGGGGGATGAACAGGCAGAGAGCACAGAGGATTTTTAGGGCAGTGAAAGTATTCTATATGATACTATAATGGTGGGTACATATATCATTATATATTTGTTAAGATTCTCAGACCGTTTGGACAATTTTAAAACATCTATTTTTTATTGATTCTTAATGTTCTTCACAGAACATTGCCTTTATAGAACTGCTCTTCTAAACTTTGTTGTCTCGGTCACTAATGGTGTCGGCAATCTCACAACGTGTTTCCTCCTCTCTCAGAAGGGTCCCAATCTTTCTATCAATTAATTACACTGGATGCAGAATCCATCTCTCTAGGCACTTCTCATACCCCAGAATTAATTTGTATTCTCTGAATACGGTCAAATTTAAGGCAACATTTCTGTATCTATCAGCAAAATGAGAGAAGTCTGAGGGAAACAAACGAGGCTCAAGTTTTTACGATACTGTCTCATGTCAAATACGTGCTTTCCCTCCCTGGTCAAGAAAATTCCTGCATGTGAGCTTGTCCAAATAGGGGGCAAGGTTAATTCCTCTTTTATTGTTTTTTGCCTCATTTCTTAAGCCCGACACAGTAAATACTATGTTACATAGCAAGCAGAACCCACTGCCCTCAAACAACTAACCCACTACTAAGAACCATTTATTATCATAATAAACCAGATGCCATTTATAAACTAGCTATATTTTGTAGTTTGTGATATTATTCACTTATTTTCTCTAACAAATCAAATCAGATCCCTCAAATTCAAAGCTTTAAAGTATGGCAAGAAAAAAGTCAGATGTTATGCCAATGTTCTTTTATCTTGTGTGTAAAATACCAAACTTGACTTTCTTTCAGACCAGTCCTCCACTTTAAAAGTCAATGACAGCCCTGCCTGGTTTGGCTTGGCAGTTAGAGCCTTGACCTATGGACTGAAGGGTCCTGGGTTTGATTCCCGGTCAAGGACATGTACCTGAGTTGCAGGTTCAATCCCTGGCCCTGTTCGGGATTATACGGGAAGCAGCCAATCAATGTGTCATTCTCACACTGATGTTTCTCTCTCTCTCTCCTTCTCTCCCTTCCACTCTATCTAAAAATCAATGGAAAAATATCCTCAGTGAGGATTAACAGAAAAAAAAAAAAAAGTCGTGCCATATTAACAACATGGTTTTAACTCTACGACCTTCGAAAAACAGCTTTTCAGGGATGTTGGTGTCAAGAAATCTATGACTAAAACAGGTGCATGTTTCTAGCCTGCCCTTTCTCTTTCCAGTTTTCCAGAGTTGACTGTGAATACTAAATGTTAATGAGAATGACAGTTTAATATATTTCTTGCTTAGTTCACTCATTTGATGGTCCACAAATATTTATTAAGTACTGTTGTATAACAAAGAACTTGTTTGGTCTTTATTCCTGTTTCCTAGGAGAGAGTCTCCAAACTCTTGGAATTTCCAAGTGATCAGTGTCTTTTGTTCTTCATAGTGGAACCCTAGGCCACACTTAAATTTATACTAATGAGGTGACTCATGATAAGCCTGAGTTCTCAGAGTCATTCTCGCAAATTACAGAATCTGAACTGATCATGGAATCCCCCAATGTGTGGCTAGCTAGCCAGAAGTGCAGGTGGCCTGTGGGAAACTATGTCCTTAACATGTGAAGTTTGCGACAACTCTAGGTAGTTAGCACAAGAACCGCACTGTAAACACCCACTCAAAATGTGCCAGGGCATTAACCAGACACTTGCTATATATGATCCCTGCCAGCATGGCACTTACAACCTAGTGGAAGAGAAATAAGCAAACACACACATAATTATAAGTAAAGAGTATACTCCATTTCAGGAAACAATATAACATGTTCCAACATGAGGCTATCTGTGGAAAATCATTTAGTAGCAACTGAATCTAACCACTTGAGTAGCTGCTTTCCAGGGACAAAGTAGTAACTTATGAATGATTGAGCCTCACATCTTATGAGGTGCAAAGATGTCTGCGTAACTGCTGAACTGTACAGACTGAACAGTTTCCAGGGGTAACCCAAAAACGAGATCCGAGCTGAAAGGACAAGGGTATCTGTAACCAACCCCCTAATCAAAAGTAACAGACTGTTTTCAACCCACTCCCGCCCCCAATATGTATAAAAACATTTGGTTCCTTCCCCTAATGGGAATTTGGCAGGAACCAAATGGAAAGTTAGAGGTTTACAACTAGCTTTTGAATTCAGACCTCCCCAGATTTAGAGTAACAGTGATAAGTCACACAAAAAATACCTTTTCACTTTCTTAATTTGCTCATCTATGAAATTAGCAAACAGGGCAAGGTATGTTATTACTAGATAACAAGTGAAGGTCAAGGGGAAAAAACATTACCATGCATGCTGTGCTCCAAATGTCAGCTGGGGTACTATAGCCAGATCCTATCAGAACTTCCAAGGAGCGATACTGCCTGGTTTGAATATCTTCAGTGAAATGCTTATGCTGAGTAAATGGAGAAGAAAACAGTATTGTAAAATTCATTTAATCTAAAAAGTAACAAATCATGATTGTTTAATAATGGAGATTAAATGAAATTCTCTGAAGTTTCCCCTAAACCAGTTTTTATTTTGCTATTTCCTATGTATCATTTTGATGCTATTAGTTCTAAACAATACTTTGCTTTACAGTTTACTCCAAATATTCGCAAACATATGAATCTAAACTTCATATACATAGATTAGAGAGTAAAATTTTCTTTTAAAAATATTGGTTTCAAGTTAAGAACTTTAAAACAGCTCCCATAAAAAATTAAAAAAAAAATATTTTTTCTTTATTGGTTTTAGTGAGAAGAAGGTAGAGGGAGAGAGAGATAGAAACATCAATGAGAGAGAACATCGACTGGCCACCTCCTGCATGCCCCCACTGAGGATCGGGCCCACAACCTGTACATTTGCCCTGACTGGGAATCAAACCTCTGGTGCATGGGTCGGTGCTCAACCAGTGAACCACACCGGTAGGGCATAAAGAATTCTTTTTTTTTTTTTCCCTTTAAATCCTCACCAAGGGATATTTTTCCATTGATTTTCAGATAGAGTGGGAGGGAGGGAGGGAGAGAGAAACATCATTGTGAGAGAGACATTGACTGGTTGCCTTTTGCATGGAACCAGGACCAGGGATTGAATCTCCTCTTTGGTCTGTGGGCTCACAGTGTAACAGCTGAGCCAAACCTGCTATAAAGGATTCTTGAGAGTAACATCACCATCACAGCAGAGTGAGACACACCCTTGGCCTTTCCCCTTCAATCTACAATGAGTGGAATATTTATAACTCAACAAAGATTCCTCTGATCAACACACTAGGATGCATGAGAGATCCACACATCTGTATATCGGAAGGTGGGTGGATTGGACGGCAAGGAAAGGTAGAATTGGGGGAACAGCAGGGATGATGCCTGATACCTGTCCTGCAGCAACAGCCAAGTCCACAACCCCAGAGCGAGCATGGGAGCAGCAGTGGAGAAGGGGCTCATGATTACAATCACCACCCAGCAAAGGAAAAGGGCAGCAGCAACACTGGCACCCTCCCCTGGCTGCAGGGGTGCCTGTGACCCCGGCAACCCTGGACGGCGCCAGTGACTTTGGAGGCACAAGCAGCTACAAAGAGAGCACCTGTGCCACCTCTGGCAGAAGCTGCGGAGGGTAGCATGTGCCAGCTCTCAAATACAGCCAGAGTCCAAGCAGTTATGAGAAACCAAAAACCTGCGCTATAGTGCCACCTACTGGAAAATAAAAAACAAAACAAGGCCTCTATTACCAACATGTTGAATTGTTAAAATTAAATGTGTACCCAAGCAAGAAAAGTGTTCACTACTTTCAATGTGCCAGCAGAAGAATCAAGCACCATGAATAATCATGCTAACACAGTATCACAAAAGTAAAATGACATTTTTCCACAAAACAAACTCAATGTCATGGAAGATTGTAATCTAAATGACAGATAATTCAAAACAGCTGTCATAAAGAAAATTCAATGAGATGCAAGAAAACTCAGAAAAGTAGTTCAATGAGCTCAAAAATAAAATTAATGAACAAAAGGAGTGCTTTACAAAAGATTTTGAAACTCTAAAAGAGAACCAAACAAAATTTTGGAGCTGAAAAACTCAATAAGATAAAGACTACATTAAAAGCGTTGGGAATAGAGCAGAGCAGATAGAAGAGAATTATTAGCAAGGTCAAAGATAGAAATCTAAAAATGATTCAGGGGAAGAACAGAGAGAACTAAGATTAAAAAAAAAACAAACACACGCCAACTCTGTGAGAACTATCCCACTCCATCAGAAAGGGCGATATAAGTATAATGGGTATCCCAAAAGGAGAAGAGAGGGAGAAGGGGACAAAAAGCCTACTTGAAGAAATAACAGATGAGAACTTCCTTAACCTGGACAAGTTAGACATACAAGAAAGTCATAGAGCACCTAATTATCTCAATACAAAGAGACATTTTGAAGTTTTTCTTTATTGATTTTAGAGAGAGAGGGCAAGATAGAAAAATCAATGAGAGAGAACATGGACTGGCCACCTCCTGCATGCCCCCCACTGGGGATTGGGCCCACAACCTGGGCATGTGCCCTGACTGGGAATCAAATCGGCGACCTCTTGGTGCATGGGTCGACACTCAACCACTGAGCTGCACCGGCTGGGCAAACAGACATTTTTTGGATGTGAGGGCGATCTGGCTGCAACATCTGTCACTCCATTGATCGCGGGGGTTGATTCGGCTATTTGGCTGGCTAGGAGGGTGTCCCCCTCCTCCCTCACCGATCCATGTGCGTCCCTCCCAAAAGTCTGCACTGGGTGGAAGAGGACGAACCCCCATCCCAGGAGAGGACCAGTCTTCGGTCAAGGGTATACGAGTAGCTAACCTCTCCTATTAGAACCTCCAAACAAGCTCACAGAGAGACATTTTTCTAAGACACATTATTTTAAACTGCTAAGAGTCAATGATAAGAAAGAATTCTAAGGGCAGCCAGAGAAAAAGAAGAATGTAATCTACAAAGGAACCCTTAACAACCTGTCATCAGATTGTGCAGCAGAAACTCTATAGGCTAGGAGTGAAATGACATATTGAAAGATGTAAACTGCCAGCCAAGCCCTATCTGGGTGGCTCAGCTGGTTTGGAGCATTGTCCCGTACACCAAAAATAATGCAGGTTTGATCCCTGGTTGGGCATGTATGGGAGGCAACTGATCGATGTTTCTCTCTCAAATTAATAAAATAAAAAATACATATACTCGGATGAGGATTAAACAACAGCAACAACAACCTGCCAGCCAAAAATTTACGGAGTAAAGTTGTCCTTCAGATATGAGGAAAAAAGGCTTCCCGGACAAAACAAAAGCTGAGGGAGTTCATCTCCCCAAGACTTTCCTGACAAAATGTTGAAAGGAGCTCTTCTGGAAACAAATGGCAAAAGTACACAAAACATCAAGATGATAGAATCAGAAAAACTACAACTCTATTACAGAATACAGTGTTAGGCACTTAGAGCATAAAGGTAGAAGGGGGAAAGAAAGCATTAATAAAAAAACAATAGCTACTTCAACTTCATAATGAACACACAGTATAACAAGGAATAATTTGTCAGCAAGTTCTCAAATATCAACAATCACGTTAAACGCAAATGGACTGAACTCACCAATCAAAAGGTATGCAACAACTTGATGGATTAAAAAACAAGACCCAACTATATGCTACCTTTTCAGGAGACTCATCTCAGCTCCAAAGATAAACAAAGGCTCAAAGCAAAGGGGTGAAAAATGACAATCCAAGCAAATGGTATCCAAAAGAAAGTGGGTGTTAGCCATACTTATAGCAGACAAATTAGATTTCAAGCCACAAAAAGTAATGACAGACAAAAATGGACATTATATAACAATAAAGGAGACAATCCATCAAAAAGACAACATTTAGCAGGAGTGGCTCAATGCACCAAGAGGTCACCGGTTCAATTCCTGGTCAGGGCACATGCCCAGGTTGTGGGCCAAATCCCCAGTGGGGAGCATGCAGGAGGCGGCCAACTGATGTTCTCTTTCATCGAAGCTTCTCTCTCCCTCCCTTCCTCTCTCTCTAAAATTAATAAAGAAAATAAAAAAAAGGACAACATTTATTTATATGTACCAACCTCAGGAACACTAAAATATATAATGCAATTATTAATAGACCTGAAAGGAGAAACTGACAGAAACACAATAGAGGTAGGAGACTTTAACACCCCACTTCCACTGATTGATATTGCATCCAGATAGCAAGTCAACAAGGAAACATTGGCCTTAAATTACACATCAAATCTGATGGACTTAACAGATATATATAGAACATTCCATTCAAAAGCAACAACATACACATTCTTCTCAAGTGCACATGGAACATTCCCAAGGATAGACTGTATGTTAGGACACAAAAAAAGTCTTAATAAATTTAAGACTGACATTATATCAAATATCTTCTCTGAACACAACGATACGAAAGTAGAAATCAACTATAAGAAAGCTGTAAAAATCATACATATGTGGAGATTGAACAACATGCTAGTCAACAACTGTGGGGCAACAAAAGAATCAAAGGAGAAATCACAAAAAACATGGAGACAAATAAAAACAAAAATATGACATACCAAAATTTATGGAATATGCAGCAAAAGCAGTATTAAGAGGGACGTTTATAGCAATACAGACATACCTTGAAGATACTGTGAGTTTGATTTCAGACCACAATAAAGTGAGTTGTAACATTTTTGCTTGTGGCAGGTCTGGCCTTTAATTTGTAAAAATTGCAACATTTGTGAAGCTCAACAAAATGAAGTATACCAAACATGTCTATCTCAAGTAACAAAAATCTCAAATAAACATTCTAACCTTATACCCAAAGAAACAAAGTCAGTAGAAGAAAGAAAATAATAAACATTATAGCAGAAATAAATTAAATACTGTAGACTAAAAATACAAGAAAAAAGATCAATGAAATTAAGAGCCAGTTCTCTGAAAATATAAATAAAATAAAACTTTAGCTAGACTCACTAAAAAAACAAAAAGATTCAAATAAAATAAAAAATAAAAGAGAAGTTACAATGAATACTACAGAACTATAAAGGATCATGCCCTGGCTGGTTTGGCTCAGCGATTAGAGCTTCGTCCTGCGGTCCTGAGAGACCCGGGTTCGGTTCCCCCTAAGGGCACGTACCTTGGTTGCAGTTTGTCCCCAGCCCTGGTTGGGTCGTGTGGGTGGCAACCACTCGATGTGTCGCTTTCACGTCGATGTTTCTCTCTCTCTCCCTCTCCTTCTCACTCTATCTGAACAAAATATCGAAAAATGTCCTCGGGTGAGGATAAAAAAAAAGAAAAAAGAACTATAAAGGATCATGAAAAGGCCATTAAATTCAACAACCTAGAAGGATAAATTATTCTTAGATCATACAACCTTCCTATACTGAATCATGAATAGAAA